ATTTACGTCCCTTCACCCCCACCCTACATGATTTGGTTGTATTAACGTACCCTCACCCCTACCCTACATGATTTGGTTATAGTAACGTCCCCTTACCCCACCCTACATGATTTGGTTATATTACCGCCCCTTCACCCCACCCTACATGCTTTGGTTATATTAACGTCCCCTCACCCCCAACCCTACCTTACGTGATTTGGTTATATTAACGTCCCCTCACCCCCACCCCCACCCTATATGATTTGGTTATATTAACGTCCCCTCACCCCCACCACCACCCCCACCTTACAAGATTTGGTTATATTAACGTCCCCTTACCCCTACCCTACATAATTTGGTTATATTAACGTCCCCTCACCCCCACCCTAAGTGATTTGGTTATATTAACGTCCCCTCACCCCCACCCCACCCCCACCCTACGTGATTTGGTTATATTAACGTCCCCTCACCCACACCCCACCCTACGTGATTTGGTTATATTAACGTCCCCTCACCCCCACCCTAAGTGATTTGGTTATATTAACGTCCCCTCACCCCCACCCTAAGTGATTTGGTTATATTAACGTCCCCTCACCCCCACCCCACCCCCACCCTACGTGATTTGGTTATATTAACGTCCCCTCACCCACACCCCACCCTACGTGATTTGGTTATATTAACGTCCCCTCACCCCCACCCTACATGATTTGGTTATATTAACGTCCCCTCACTCTCACCCCACCCTACATGATTTGGTTATATTAACGTCCCCTCACCCCCAACCTACATGATTTGGTTATATTAACGTCCCCTCACCCCCAACCCTACCTTGCGTGATTTGGTTATATTAACGTCCCCTCACCCCACCCTACATGATTTGGTTATATTAACGTCCCCTCACCCACACCCCACCCTACGTGATTTGGTTATATTAACGTCCCCTCACCCCCACCCTACATGATTTGGTTATATTAACGTCCCCTCACCCCCACCCCACCTTATGTGATTTGGTTATATTAACGTCCCCTCTATATTGACCTGCCGTATGAATGTGTTTCTATATTGAACTAGTTCATGACGCCGATAACGTCTTATGTGTTTCTATATTGAACTAGTTCATGACTCCAATAACGTCTTATGTGTTTCTATATTGAACTAGTTCATGACGCCAATAACGTCTTATGTTTCTATATTGAACTAGTTCATGACGCCAATAACGTCTTATGTGTTTCTATATTGAACTAGTTCATGACGCCAATAATGTCTTATGTGTTTCTATATTGAACTAGTTCATGACGCCGATATCGTCTTATGTGTTTCTATATTGAACTAGTTCATGACGCCGATATCGTCTTATGTGTTTCTATATTGAACTAGTTCATGACGCCGATAATTTCTTATGTGTTTCTATATTGAACTAGTTCATGACGCCGATAACGTCTTATGTGTTTCTATATTGAACTAGTTTATGACGCCGATATCGTCTTATGTGTTTCTATATTGAACTAGTTCATGACGCCGATATCGTCTTATATGTTTCTATATTGAACTAGTTCATGACGCCGATAACGTCTTACAAGTTAAATGAACTGTCAAATGACTCATTTGTCCTAGTTGTCCGATTTAACGGTCGCTGTATAAATCTGCATTTTCAACTCCTAAATTTGCATTTCGAATTTAGTTTTGTTGTTGTTGTCTCTTTACGGCGAAGATTAATGTATGCATAGACCTTCACCTTGACAGACATCTGGAATCTACGTTCACTTACAAGATAGACATCTACATTGTCTTATAAGATAGACATCTATATTGTCTTATGAGATAGACATTTACATTGTCTTATAAGATAGACATCTACATTGTCTTATAAGATAGACATTTACATCGCCTTATAAGATAGCCATCTACATTTTCTTCTTATAAGATAGATATCATTGTCTTATAAATTATTTATTAAAACCAGTCTCAAATATTAAGTTTATGAGGGTTCTTTTATAAGTATAGGAAAATATGATCGACATTGTGAAACAATTTAAAACACTTCGACCGTGATTATAAATCAGATAACAAAACAACATGTTTTAAGTAGTTCGTTTGGAACTTAATTCTAAACTAACCTTGAATAGCAAGAACCGTAAAATAGATTAAAATACTCCATGTTGACAGAGTTCCGACAAGATTTTTGGAAAAATATCGATGTTTTAAGAGAAATTTCAACTGCAATTTTCAGGGGGTTGTAGGCTGCGGTGTGACGTCATTTTAAAGGGGGGGGGGGGCTGGCTTTTTGTGACAATGTGTGACGGATGGGAGGTAAAATTGTCAAAAGAAGCGTGACGACATTTATGGATGACCCCTAATTTCTAAACAGTAAAATATTCCAGTCTGTCACAGACCCAAGTTGAAAACAAAATATTAGTGAGGGGTTTTCAGTGTATGCTTATACGACAAAGTTTTTATGAAGGTTTAAATGATGCTCATTTAGTAGGGGGGTTTAGTGTTTTTAAGCAAATATTTTCAGTGGCAGCATTGGTACTGTCGAATTCACAAATTATAAATTACTGAAATGTAGAAAAAAAAACAACAACTAAATAGCGGCGTATGATACGCAGCGGGTCGGCTCGTATATATAATTCTCTTCTGGGAGCCGTTAGAAAACAAGCTGCAAGCGCGCCTTACAGTCCCCTCTCTTCCTCTCTAACGCTACCACCCCCCACCCCACCCCCACATTGTCTGGTGAGCTGTGGTCACGCTGTTTACATTTTACAATCATAGAGACGGGTTTGGTGACGGCTATTAGGGGCAGATAATTTAGTTTGAAACGATTTTAAGCTTAGAGGAGGTAACTAAGAGGAGGCTGCTTTCATGTGGGGGGGGGGGGGGTTTAGTGTTTTTAAGCAAATATTTTCAGTGGCAGCATTGGTACTGTCGAATTCACAAATTATAAATTACTGAAAAGTAGAAAAAAAAACAACTAAATAGCGGCGTATGATACGCAGCGGGTCGGCTCGTTCTATTATATTTTTAAAAGTTTAAGTAATTAAAAATCATGGCTATATTCCGAGTTGCCATCCCACGTAGTGTTATATAAGAATATTCGAAAAAGTTTAGGGGAGATTTCTCCCGGTTTATTTTTTTCTCTTATTCAAATAAACCGGGAGTGATCTCCCCTAAACTTTCTCGAATATTCTTATATAAAACAACAGAGGATGGGAACTCCATTTTAAATACTTAAAGTTTTTAAAATAGAATAAAATCTCGTAGAAAAAAGAATTTCACACCAAGTGAACGCCAAATGAATGTGCATAATAGTGCGCAATATTATTAGTTCTTTATCAATTCAAATGCGTTTTTTGAGAAATCGGAAATAGCGTAAATTACTACTTCCGGTCAACGGAAATTACTTAAAAATTTGACAGAAGGTAGAGAATTAGATCATTTACTTACAGGTGAAATTTCATTTATCTATCTCAAATAGTACTCAAGTTATAGGCTTTTGAAAAATTCAAAGTAGAAAAAGTACCACTTCCGGTTATCGGAAATCGCTCAAAAGTTAATACGGATCTACAATTTTGATAAAATACTTATATATGAAATTTCATCAACCTAGCTGTAACGGTACTCAAGTTATCTTGTTTACACACAGACAGACACACAGACAGACACACAGATATACGGACAAGATTGCAAAATTATTTTTTCCCGTATCAGTGAGGTGTAAAACGTCGAGATTTATAAAAAATCTCGATTTTTTTTTTTTGCACGATTACAAGACTTTCTCTATACTTCGTATATACGAGAAAGTAAAAAAGGTAACGAAAAATTCAGAGACGGCATGGGGGGGGGGGGCGCTAGAATTAGAGTGGATTAAAAGCATTTAACACATACATAAACAGAACAAAACCACCGTGAACACATACATAATAAGAACAAAACCATCGTGAACACATACATAAACAGAACCAAACCACAGTGAACACATACATAAACAGAGCAAAACCACCGTGAACACATACATAAATAGAACAAAACTACAGTGAACACATACATAAACAGAGCAAAACCACCGTGAACACATACATAAATAGAACAAAACCACCGTGAACCCATGTGAAATTCGCGTCTAGCGGTCAAACAAAACAATCGAGATAAGAAGCCGACAGGAGATTTTAGCTGTCTACTGCCCCCCCCCCCCCCCCGTTTCAACCCCCTCCCCTATCCCCCCAATTAACTAGCCTCATTAATTCTAAACCATGGACCTAACGCCTTAGATAATGGTACTAATTAAAGAGCACATAAATCATCCATCTTTGCCTTCAAATGCCGTGGTTGGATAAAGCCTTAAGAATATGTATATGTGTGTTTGTGTACATAGCGGAGGTTGTGCTTAAAACAAGAAGGGCAAGATGACAATTTCTGAGACATTATATATGAATGTATATAAGCCTATAGGTGGGGGGGGGTGAGTGTGAGAAACAATGGGCGATATATATATATATATATATATATATATATATATATATATATATATATATATATATATATATATATATATATATATATATGGTCGGGCATTTTTTGCGGTAGCGATATATTTATTTATTTATTTACTCGTAATATGTGCGTTTGTATATATATATATATATATATATATATATATATATATATATATATATATATATATATATATATATATATATATATATATATATAGTCACGGCCTTCTATATACCACTTTAAATATTGTCATGGCTACCTGTCGTTTACCACCTCAAAGACCTCAATAGAGAGGTGAGATACCCGTGACAGCTGAGATGATCTTATTCGACAATTGAAAAGACCAATGAGATATGACGTGTGGGGTGTGGAGGGGGGATGCGTATGTGTGGTCTGCAGTAAAATCTAGTTGAAGCATATTATTATGTAAACAAATGAAATGTTAAATTCACCGTTACAAGCCAAAAAAGAAATCTCTTCAATATATGTATTTCAAATAAATAAATAAAACAGAGCGTTACACTGACCACTGTCCATCCAGCTAAATCCAGTTGCGGGCACACCAAGAATTCACAGAATCAGTAGAAAGTAAAGCGGTTAATAAAACCACAATTCACAAGGGAAATCCAAATCCAATGATCTCTTATCGCGGAGATATCCTGTTGAAACCAATATTTGAAAGCCCAACTCGATCGTTTCTCGCCACGCCAGCCTATGTTTCTCGCCACGCCAACCTATGCTAGACTACATTTGAGACCGCACTGCTGTATTAAAGCGCTGGCTCAATCGGCCCGCTGCGCTTTTTAACCCGCGCAGTCAACTCACAGGCACTAGCCGCAGAAGCATTTGACTTTATTTGACTTCATTACACTTAACCCAGTGCTCCTGATATCCTTTGTAACCGGGTGTAAACCATTTTTAAATCGAGTCTAAATTTCTGAGAGAAACAAATAAGGAAATGTGTGAAGTCTCAAGTAATATTTAAGTATAAGCTATACGGGTATTTTTAAATTCATACAGGTAATTTTAAAGTGTAAACTACGGATAATTTTAAAGTGTAAACTACGTGTAATTTTCAAGTGTAAACTACGAATAATTTTAAAGTGTAAACCACGTGTAATTTTAAAGTGTAAACTACGTGTAATTTTAAAGTGTAAACTACGTGTAATTTTAAAGTGTAAACTACGGGTAATTTTAAAGTGTAAACTACGTGTTATTTTAAAGTGTAAACTACGTGTTATTTTAAAGTGTAAACTACGTGTAATTTTAAAGTGTAAACTACGTGTAATTTTAAAGTGTAAACTACGTGTAATTTTAAAGTGTAAACTACGTGTAATTTTAAAATGTAAACTACGTGTAATTTTAAAGTGTAAACTACGGGTAATTTTAAAGTAGAGGAAGATTTGGCTAAAAGGCACCGGGGCAAATTTATTCAAGTGCCCTGCAGCCATAATTAGATCATTAAATTAAAATTCGCTAATATTGCAAAGATTCTTACCAGAAAGTAAAATGACGTTACGCACACATTTTGTTCTTCGCCAACTTACAGACCTTAAAGCAAGTCGAATTCGAATTTTCGAAGTTGATTCTCAATTTTATTTTAATTTTGGTGGATAAACAAATCGTTGATGAAAATAGTTTTTGATACTTTTGTCTTGAGTATAGCTGAGATAGCCCTACCTATTGGCTTGTCTTGAGTATAGCTGAGATAGCCCTACCTATTGGCTTGTCTCAGAGGCGTAGCGACCCTTCCCGGCGCCCGGGGACAAACTTTTTCGATTTGCACCCCCCCCCCCTCAAACTTTCAATTTGCACCCCCCTCAACCTTTCAATTTATTTTTCAAACCCATTTTGGCGCCCCCTAAGCTCGGCGCCCGGGGACATATGTCCCCCCCCCCTCGCTACGCTATTGGCTTGTCTTGAGTATAGCTGAGATAGCCCTACCTATTGGCTTGTCTTGAGTATAGCTGAGATAGCCCTACCTATTTGGCTTGTCTTAAGTATAGCTGAGATAGCCCTACCTATTGGCTTGTCTTGAGTATAGCTGAGATAGCCCTACCTATTGGCTTGTCTTAAGTATAGCTGAGATAGCCCTACCTATTGGCTTGTCTTAAGTATAGCTGAGATAGCCCTACCTATTGGCTTCACACTATCCACTCTTCTTAGTCAGTAACTTTAAAAAAAAAAATTAAATAAATTATATTTTGCAGTATAAACTGTACGGATGATTAGTATAATTTGTACGGGTAATTTTATAGTATAAACTTTACGGGTAATTTTAAAGTACAAGCTTGTGATAGATTGTAATCACTGACGAGAAGCCACATTGGTTGTTAACAGTCTTTATTTACAGCCATTATGGAAAGAGGAAGGAAGTGGCGAGAGACAACTATTTATATATATGTAAGGGACATCACTCAAGATAACAATATAAATATAATACTAATACAGAAGAGTGAGTTCCCTTGACCTCACAATTATCTCAATCTATTACATCCCTTTACCCTTAGAACACAATAACACATCTCTCAATAGAACAATTGATAGTATCCTAAAATCACCAATTATATTGTAACATGAACACTATGGTAGATTACATCCTTGCAAACAATGCACAATATGCTACAACATAATCAAGATACAAAACAATGATGTCAAAGTCCTTTTGACCTTTAAAATCATAGGTCTAACTTATTTGGGACTTTGATTGTCCTGTTTGACCTTCTCAGTAGCTTTTGATTTGGTGACTCAATATTCTGACCATTTGGATTCTCTATCTCAGGAGGTCTAGGATTTAAATCATTAACTCCAGAATTTACATTTTCTGACTCCAGACAACTTGGTTCACTCATATCAACAGAACTTGGTTGTGGAACAAACTGAGTTGGTGTGAACTGTTCAGATTTAGTGGGATTGACAGATTCACACTTATTATCTGCACAAGTTATTTTTAACTTTATAAGACACAGGTCCTGTACATTGAACAATTTGACCTGGTATCCATTTTTCCCTTCTCCCATAATTTCTTAGATACACATTCTCATTATATCCAAATTCTCTTTCAATGCATGTTTTGTCATGATTTAATGGAACTATTTTTGAATTGGCATCTGAAAGTATTATGCTGTTATTCAGATCCTTGACTGACATAGATTTCTTTGATTGATCAATTTCCTCAGGTAATCTGCTAGTGCTTTTTGGTAACCAAAAATACTGTTTACAAGTAATATCCTGGACCATATCACTTTGCAACTGTGATCCAGTATTTGAAGTGGGTGTATTAAATGGCAAAAATCTTTTTTTTCTTTCTTTTGATGTTACCCTTTTAGTTTCTGTAAGTGCTAATGATGTTAGCAAAGTTGTTTGATGATCACATTCCTTCTTACTAATGTATTTGAAATTGCCATATCACTATAATCATTTATTAAGTTACAAATACTTTGTTTAGGCAACTCTGACTGATAATGGACTGCATCTTCTCCATCTTTTAGACTTAATTCCATTTTTCTTATTTTATATGGCCTTAAGTCATCATTCACAGACTCTTCAGGCCAACCGTTCTTACAGTACTCATATACTTTTATTAAGCACTCATCTTTTTGTGTTTCTCTTTTAATATCATTCACATTTATATTGGAGTTATCCATGATAGTGAAGAGAACAAATACATCTTCTGGTATATACCTCAGGCTTTGGTTTTTTAAAGGTAATCTACTAAGACTATCTGCACTATTCTCAGATCCAGGTTTGTATTTCAATTCATAATTGTATGCAGTTAGTGTGATAGCCCATCTTTGAATTCTTGGTGAGGCATGCTCAGCTAGGGTTTTGTTTTCTCCAAATAAACCTAGCAATGGTTTATGATCTGTAAAGATGGTGAACTTCCTACCAAACAGAAACTTATGAAATTTCTTAACACCAAAAATGATGCCTAAGCCTTCCCTATCTAACTGAGAATAATTTTTCTCAGCCTGGTTCAAAGATCTACTGGCAAAAGCAATGGGTCTGTCACCCTTCTCATCCATGTGGGACAAGACTGCTCCTACACCATCTGGTGAAGTATCACATGTTAATATAAGTCTTTTCCCTGGGTCATAGTGAGTTAGTAAGGTGTCAGCAGACAAAGCCTCTTTTGCTGTATTAAAAGCAGCTTCTTGTTGTTTACCCCAGTGCCAAGTTGCATTTTTCTGTAGCAGCTTGTACAGCTCTTAGTTGTTGGGTATTTTCAGGTTTGGGTGCTTCTTTAATGGCTTTTGTTTTCTCAGGTTGAGGTCTGATGCCTTGCTTGCTTAATATATAACCAAGAAAACTAATTTCTGTCAACATGAATTGACATTTATCTTTGTTTATCTTTAAACCTTTTTCACCAACTATTTTCAAGACTTTATCTAGTGTTCTAAGATGTTCAGTGTCATTCTTACCAGTTATGTACACATTGTCAAAGTAAACACAAACATTTGGAATATCCTTAAAAATACTGTCCATGACAGCTTGGAAAATTCCAGGGCTAGATGATATACCAAAACATAGTCTTTCATATTGGTAGAGTCCTTTATGTGTGTTTATTGTCGTATAGACTTTTGAATCTGGATGCAGTTCTAGTTGAGTGTAAGCATGACTAAAGTCTAATTCAGTGAATTTGTCTCCTCCTGCCAAATTCAAAGAAATTTCCTCAATGTTAGGTATAGGGTACCTATTTAGCTCTATTTGCTTATTCAGTGTAGTTTTATAATCTCCACAAATTCTTATAGAACCATCCTTCTTTAACACTGGCACAATGGGCGTTGCCCAATCGGAATAGTCTACCTTCTTTATGATGCCATTAGATTCCAATCTACTTAGCTCATTTTCAATTTTATTCCTCATTGCATAAGGTGGAACTCTAGCTTTGCAGTATCTTGGATTTGTGTCTTTAATGCTTATCTTCACTGTTCTATCTTTTAGTAATCCTGGATTACTAAAAACACATTTATTTTCAGATATGACTTTATCTATTGAAGTAAGACTAGATTCTTTTACATTCTTCAATGAACAAATACTCTCCCAATTTAACTTAAGATCACTTAACCAGTTCCTACCTAGTAATGGTGGTCCATTTCCTTCAACCACAATAAGAGGAAGTTTAACACTTTGACCATTATAACTTACATGAACCATACACTCTCCTATTACCGGAACATTGTCACCAGTGTATGTTGTTAGACACTTGTGACATGGCTGTAGAGGCACTGATCCTCCTGTGACAGCGTCAAAGACCTTCTTTGTGATGACTGTTAGAGATGCTCCAGTGTCAAGTTGGAAGCTGATGCTCTTACCGTTGATATTAACTGGTACATTGATGGGAGCATGACTTATTGATTTCACAGAGAACAGGTTGAAATCCGGCTGCGAATCAGTTTGAGCATTTTCACAGGTTGAGTGGTTCATTGGTTGGGTTAGGTAGTCTTGGTGAGAGTTAACATAGTGCTGCCTTTGGTTGCGGTACTGTCTTGACTGGCTAGATTTAGCAACAGACGAAGACTTTGCAAAGCAGGCCTTGGCAATGTGACCTTGCTTACTGCACTTATAACAAGTTGCAGACTTGAACTTGCACCGATGAGATGCATGGGGACCTTTGCATCGATGACATTTTTGATAATTATTACTAGATTTAGATCTAGGATTTGAACGAGCAGGCTGTTTAGCATAAGTTGAAATGCTCTGTTGGGGTTGATATTTATTGACTAACCTGCTGTTTACTGCATGG